AGAGACAGGATTACTGCAAGGCACAGATCTGGGGAAGGCTACAGAAAAATTTCAGCTGCACTAAAGGTTCCCAAGAGCACAGTGGCCTCCATAATTCTCAAATGGAAGAAGTTTGGCACAAGCAAGACTCTTCCAAGAGCTGGTTGTTCGGCCAAACTGAGCAATTGGGGGAGAAAAGCCATAGTAAGAGAGGTGACCAAGAACCCAATGGTCACTCTGTCTGAGCTCCAGAGATCCTGTGTGGAGATGGGACAAAGTTCCAGAAGGACAACCATCACTATAGCCCTCCACCAATCTGGGCTTTATGGCAGAGTGGGTAGACGGAAGCCTCTCCTCAGTGCAAAACACATGAAACTCTGCTTGGAGTTTACAAAAAAGCACCTGGAGGACTCTCAGACTATGAGGAACATGATGCTCTGGTCTGATGAAACCAAGACTGAAGTGTTTGGCCTCAATTCCAAATGTTATGTCTGGAGGAAACCAGGCACCACTCATCACCTGTCCAATACCAGTCCAACAGTGAAGTGTGGTGGCAGCATCATGCTGTGGGGGTGTTTTTCAACAGCAGGGACTGGGAGACCGGTCAGGGTTGAGGGAAAGCTGAATAGAGCAAAGGACAGAGATATCCTCAATGAAAACCTGTTCCACAGCACTTGGGACCTCAGACTGGGCCGAAGGTTCACCTTCCAACATGACAATGATCCTAAGCACACAGCCAAGACAGCACAGGAATGGGGGGACAACTCTGTGAATGTCCTAGAGTGGCCCAGCCAGAGCCCTGACATGAACCCTATTAAACATCTCTGGAGAGACCTGGAAATGGCTGTCCACCAATGGTCCCCATCCAACCTGATTGAGCTTGAGAGGATTTGCAAAGAAGAATGGCAGGAGATCCCCCAATCCAGGTGTGCAAAGCTTGTTGTGTCATACCGAAAAAGACTCGAGGCTGTAATTGCTGCCAAAGGTGCTTCAACAAAGTCAAGACAGCACAGGAATGGGGGGACAACTCTGTGAATGTCCTAGAGTGGCCCAGCCAGAGCCCTGACATGAACCCTATTAAACATCTCTGGAGAGACCTGGAAATGGCTGTCCACCAATGGTCCCCATCCAACCTGATTGAGCTTGAGAGGATTTGCAAAGAAGAATGGCAGGAG